AAAAATCAGCCGATTATTACATAAGTGTTGGCACAGGGACTACCCTAGAACAAACATTTTACAAAATGCAACGATACTGTGATCAATCATAGCAAAATAATAATTTGGTGAAGGTTAGGACAACACATAGCCAGGCTGCATCTGTTCATCAATGACAGTTTTAATGCGGACTGTGGCTCTGGTACCCAGACTCAAGGAAGTTGCAATCTGGGATGGGAATTGATCCTACCTCCTTTTACATCAGGTCTCTATAAACAATTACAGAAGTAAGAAAGACCATATAAAAGAAAAAGCAAGCTGACATGCAGTACCCAGCAATCCTACTCACCATCCTCCTTCTCATCAAACACTGGTCTTTTGGAGGAGATGTTAGCCCCCATCCTCTTCTTCCACTTGTTCCAGTGAAACATTGATGCAGAGGTGCAGATAGCATTCCCTATCTCCTGGAAATATAAGACAGCGATGGATCCGGGAGAACAACCCCAAGCAGACTCATCAAGGCTTCATCCCGGGATCCTATTATGTGCAAGGTGTACTCTGATCCCAGACTCACATCCCGCTCAGCACCATGGTGAAGGTGGCAGCGCTAATCAGAGGTGGCCGGGCACTGAGCTGCACAGAAGTAGCCGAGCTGCTGCCTTCAATGTACTACAACGCTGATACCAGCACGCTGCTTTCTCCGCGGAGTGGGCTTTAATAGCAATTGTAGCCAATGTGAGGGTCGTGTGCTCCACCTGCTGGTAGATCTGAGAATTGCACATGTACCAAAAACTGCGATCAAAAGTATTGGGACGCTTGCCTTTACACGCACATGAACTTTAATGGCATCCCAATCTTTCTCCGTAGGGTTCACTATTGAGTTGGCCCGCCCTTTGCTGCTATAACAGCTTCAACTCTTCTAGGAAGGCATCCACAAGGTTTAGGAGTATGTCTATGGGACTGTTGGACCATTCTTCCAGAAGCGCATTTGTGAGGTCAGGTACTGATGTTGGACGAGAAGGCCGGGCTCGCAGTCTCCGCTCTAATTCATCCCAAAGGTGTTCTATCGGGTTGAGGTCAGGACTCTTTGCAGCCCAGTCAAGTTCCTCCACCCCAAACTCGCTCATCCATGTCTTTATGGACCTTGCTTTGTGCACTAGTGTGCAGTCATGTTGGAACAGGAAGGGGCCATCCCCAAACTGTTCCCACAAAGCTGGGAGTATGAAATTGTCCAAAATGTCTTGGTATGCTGATGCCTCAAGAGTTCCCTTCATTGGAACTGAGGGGCCAAGCCGAAACCCTGAAACACAACCCCACACCATAATCCCCCCTCCACCAAACTTTACACTTGGCAAAATGCAGTCAGGCAAGTACCGTTCTCCTTGCAACCACCAAACCCAGACATGTCCATTGGATGGCCAGACAGAGAAGCGCATTTGCTCGTGGTAGAATACGCACAAACATGCAGGGGAAAAACGCAGAACGCATGTTGCAAAATTTGCTACATTCGCAACTCTTTCCACATTTGGCACCCATTGAAAGCAATAAGGGACGAGCACTTAATGCAGGAAATGAAAGCCCACGAACATGCAGGAATAGGCATCACTGCGACATGCGTTCCCAATATGGACTAAGCCCTCGTTAACACCTAGGTGTTTTGTAGCTCAAAGTTTGGAGATACAAAACGCTGAGCCCAAGGAATCCTATTGTTTTCTATGGCCCTTGTTTGCATCTGAGCGTTATGGCGCCTGCAGCAAAATGCTCGTCGCTGACATAGACTTCAGTGGAAATGCCTATAAATACGCGGCACGAACATTTTTGCATATCTTATGAGCGTTTTGTCGCACGTTTGTCATGTAGGAGCAAGCCTTTCTTCTGCAAAAAAAACACCTTGGAACGAAATCAAGGACAGCACAAGCTGGAAAAACGTGCAACAAAATGCACGGATAAGCACTTGAAAAACTCTAGATAAATGCACGGCAAGCTGCATAAAAATGCTAAAAAATGCTTTAAAAAAAAGCCTGAAATAAATGCATGAAACACACATCAATGTAGATAGTCCTAGCCAACTAACAAGCTTAAACTAGATCCCATTATTGGTAAACCATATTGTCTTTTTTCCCTAAATAGGGTAGCAGGGTAGTGGAACAGGAGGGAGTTAAATAAAGGAAAATATCAAATACCTGAGCCATATAACAGACAGAAGAAAGAAAGAGGAATGTAAAGAAACAAAAAGGAAGAAACCAACCACAGTCTATCAATAATGCATCATACCTCATACACCTTTAGAAACTCTTATTTACAAAGCAAATTGAAGCACAGTTTGAAGCTTCACCAAAAGCGTTTCAACACTCAACACTAGGGGGTCATTTAAAAAGTTCCTATATGCATCAGCGCCACCTAGGGGTGCTACTGCTATGCAACAGCATTTGCCCAGCTATATGCAAAGCGGAACCCCCTAGTGTTGAGCCTCAAAACGCTTCTGGTTTCCCCATGTCAGGTGGAACTTTAATAAATGAAGTTCCTAGGGCTTCCACTATATTTAATGATGCCTTTTGGCACCGAGAGCAGTGTTGCTTGAAGCTTGTCACTTGAAAAAGTACATGAGCAATAGACTTCAATTGGAGTACCTAGAAAATGCTTTAAAAATGTGCGAAAATATGGCACGTTTTTCAAAATTTTTGCCTTGTAATAAGTTTAAGTTAATAAGAAAAGTTTAAGCCTGAAATGGGCACAAGAACACCTGTACAAACGCTCAAAACAGTACCCTAAAATGAGGGTTGAATGCCCTGAATGAGTCTCCTTACCCTACAACTATACACCCAATAAATGTTCAGTTTAGTTATATAATTTACAGATTTGTACTAATACCTGCAAAACAAAAAACTGCTGTTTGATTATTGCTGTTTGTGTTATCTTAGTACTACATATGTTATTAGTTTGTGGAAGAGCAGCTTTTAGAATAAATTGGCAGGCTGCAGTTCCACTTTAAGAAAAAAAAAATCTACTTAAAACATTTTGCATGTCTCCTTCAAACATTCCATTCAACGAACTTTACTGGGTACAGGTGTTCCTTTGAAAATACAGATGCAGGAGTCATTCATCTCATTATACCATGAAAAAGCCATCAGCCGAAATTAAATTTGCAGAGATGAAACAGCTGCATGTAATAATACGTTTTGTCATTTTGGTTTCAGTTTCTCATATTTTGAAAAATACAACATAAGTGTTGTTAGCTTTAGTTCCTATTACAATATCTATAAAGAGACCTTTTATTTTGTATTATTCCATCAACAAAACTAAGGGAATAAACAGCAAGCGTGGTACAAAAACATTTACTGGTAATGGGGGAACAGATCATGACCGCTAAATTAGATTAGGCAGCACCTGCGTAATGACACGGAGGGACAGGCATGTGGAGGTGGAGGTGATTATCACTTAAAGTGACATTAAATTCAGGAGTTAAATATTAAAAATACATTCAAGTACCTTAACTATTAACAAAAATGTATCTTATTTGTGTATCACTCAGCTGAAGATCTTCAAATCATCTCTGAATTGGTGCTGACACTGTCCTTCCTTCTGGAGGGGGGCTTCTTTTGTTCCCCATGGTCCCTGTGTGTGTTGTGAAGTAGTCACCGCTCCAAGCTCACTCCAATGATGGACTACAATCTCAGTACAAATCAGTAAACCAAATATGAAATTATAGTCTATTACGGGAGCGAGCTTGGAGAGGTGACTACTTTAAAACACACACAGGGACCATGGGGAACAAAAGTAGCCCCCCTCCAGAAGGAAGGACAGTGTTAGTATTAATTCAGAGATGATTTCAGGATCTACAGCCGAGTGATTGACAAAGAAATACATTTTTGATAATAGATAAGGTACCTGAATGCATTATTAAGTTTTAACTCCTGAGTTCTGAACAATATTTTAAATAGTACTGAACTATTTTAACAGTATGTTATGGTATTGAATAAACTGTCTAATGTAAAGATTGCCTTCAGAATATCAGGTTGTGGCCCCCAGATATTGTGGACAACTGAAAAGATGACAGATAATCAAAGAAAAGAACAAATTGATGGACAAGACAAGAGTGTATTCTGTTAGTGAAGGTGGCCATACCAGTAGAATTTCAATCTTTTGAACGTTCGTTTGATTTTCTAATGGTTAGTGGGGCCTAATCAGCATTTGTTTTCAACCGCAGTGACGAGGACAATCAATCATTTCATATCTGAACAAACAAAAGTCTAGCCGTGAATGTAATTTTTGTTTGGGAAATATTAATATTGTATTGTTATCATATTATAATACAAAACAAAACTGTATTCGGGAAAATAGTCAAGATTCAGGCTGGCGCAGACTAATGGGACTGGTGCTCACTCCGCCAATGCACACTGTAACGTGCATCACCAACACCAACACCAAACACCACCCCTCCTGTAACGTGCATTGCCAACACCCCTCCAACCAGCCTCAGGTGGCGGACAGTGTAGGGACATCCATGTTGGAATATATTTAGCTATATATTTAGCTGATTTATCGGAATAAGTGTGTTGTGGTGCCATTTTAATGGTGCTGTATTGCTAAAAAAAGTCAACAACAGTTTCAGGTGCACTGGGGTGCATTGGCAGCCTTAAAGCTGTTTGTCTTAAAGCAACACACTATGTCACTCTTCAGAATTAATGCAATGCCTAGGTGTGAAGCCAACCCAAGACTTCATTCTTACTGTTACCTTTCAAAAACATATACATTTTCGGGTGTTTTTTGACCCTTCTTAGCCTCTGTGATGCCATGTCTTGCATTTGAGTGAAATTATTATGCAATTTTGCATATATCTGTCCATATGACTTACTGAAAAAGTCTGACAGCATGGCTCAGCACATCCAATATTTATGGTATACGTTTATGTTACATTTGAATGGGGAGACTTCTGACACATATACTCCCTCCACAATGGTGGACTTTGCTTCCATTATCTATTTTTGGTTGAAGTCTTATCACCTTTCTCACCTAAATTCTTGTGACAAATGCAGTATTGGACTGTGACACACACACGCGTCCCCACACACTAGATGTGAATCTCAGTGCTAGACAGTACACAATAACAGCACAATAGCTGACATTTAAATGGTGAATCACTCGTTTAATGAAGATGAGCAACGAAGTCTCTGAATATCTTAACCTTCCTGCTTTTCTTTACTTGTTTTGCATGCATTCATTTTTGACATAAATTAAAGAATAATGCTGATGTAATTCAAAGGCAGAAGAAAACTATTTATCACTTAACTGATGTGCAATGGAGCAGCTGATCTGCAGTCCAGGGACTGACAGCTTTATACAATGCAATCTGCTGCTGGAACCTATCCTTAATACGAGAATTTTATTGTTTATAATTCTTAACTCATTTTCTAGCAATTTTAAGCCCTGATGATGGGGTCCCTTTAAAACCCCTGAAGTGTGTTAAGGTTTTAGAGTGAAATAAACTCTTCATGGTCTATCAACATTTGCATCTTGTGAGTCTGTTTTTTTCTATACTAATTGTATTTCACTCTTGGTGCCCCTAGGGTCCTTCTGTGTCTGTGAGCTGCCAACTGGAGCCCTTTGTAC